CAAAATTTCTGAAAGTTATAGAATTACCCCCGAGAACAAACAGATATTCTGTACTTGCTAAGACATGGAACATGTTCAGTAGTTGTTTCTAAAATACATAATTGTATAACATGTCAGATAATTCATCATTCTTTCAATTTCTTGTCCACTCATCCACCCTGCATGTAATTTTAATATTTGTGTTTTGAAAACTGTCTAAATGCACACACTCATTTCTGAACATTTCAGAATTTTTTTAGAATGAAAATTACTTTCCGAAGAGCTAATATTAAAGGAAAATGCATCCCACCTCAGAAATGATGTCAAAATGCAGGAAATGGCACTTGAGAGAACCTAAATTTGCAAAATTTCATGGGGGGGCATGCCCCCAGACCCCCCTAGAGGCTCGCGCCTCTGGCGCTAAAAAATACCTCCCAAAACATAAAAGAACCCCCCTCAACAGAATCCACCCTACGGGCCTGATATGATATTACTTTCCTTTACTCTTATTTTATGATAGCTGTGTGATTATTACATACTTCACTGTATGTGGGACTAGCTGTATCTCTGAGGTGAGTATTTATTTCTTCAACGTCAAAATCATTAGCATTAACTTGGGCCTTTAAAGGTCTTTCCCCGAACTCCGTTTTTAATTAAGTAAGTAATACAATTACCGGAGTAAGTTCCAAGACTCAGCTTGTATTTGCTTCTCTCGTCTGTTATAGCAAAGTAGCTGTACTCGGCATAAGCTGTGTTTCTGTTGAAGTCCTCGAGATCCACTCGAAGTTTGCTTTTAGTTTTTGTCAGTTGGTGAATTTTGTCTAGTCCGAGCCAAAACTCGCCATTCAGTTTTCCGAACCCTTTTTTGTAGTCGTTCCAGCCGCGGTAGAAATTAACCGAGCCATCCAGTCTCTTCTGGAACACTGTCCACCCCCCACCGGCTGTTGTTTGGTCACAGTAGACATCAAAGACACCAGCACCGTCTCGGTCGATCTTGTAAATTCCACTTGTTCGCTTTCCAGCTTTGTACAGTTCACCGCAGTTCTTATAAGCTGGAAGACATGACATTAGCACTGATTGTTATTAGACATTTGGCAGGATATGGCTACTTTACAACTTATAAAGCCAGCAATAATATCTGCGTTTTATATACTGTGTTGCAAGCATGACACAGTATAAGAAACTATGTAAGAAATTTAGACCCAGAATAATGTAACTAAACACCTACCAAATTAGGCCTAACTGTCTTTGGTATAGCTACATTAATGATACAAAATTTGGAGTCAAACTATTCGAAGGTACGTTGATAAAATTTCTCGTTTGCAAGTAGCACAATTGACAGAAAACTGGTATGTTTATTGACATTTTTGCAGGTTTGCAGGTGTAGTTGTGAGACCCTTGAGTGTTGCTACACACTGCATTCACATCACAGGTACGGGTTTTGTTGCTGCATTCATCAATACCTAATGATGGAGAAAACAAATGATCATCTGAGTAGTCAGTGGATCCTGACTAAGTAAATTATGTGCTGGTAATTTTTTACTACTTTGTTTTGACGTATGGCAATATATGATAAGTTTAAACCAACTGATGGACAAGTTGAACAAAAAATGTATATATATCACATTAAACGTCAAAACTGAGCCCAGAGGGAGCCGTTAGGACACAGTTTTTAATAATAACAGATGTTCTATGTGCTAATTAATTTTCAAAACGAAGATCAAGAATGCTCATTGTAATTCTTAGTTAGTTTTTAGTTTATTAGTAAGTTCTGGTCCATACATATTGGATAAAAATATGGTACCTTAAAGGGTAAATATGTTAACTCAACAGCTAACCAGAATGCAAAGGATTGTGATAGTTACCAAAGCACTTTTTCCCATTTCCATAGAATCCAGCTTTACAGGTGCAAATGTATGAGCCCACGGTATTCTCACAAGCAGCGTTTGGATCACACCTGTGATAATTGCTGATGCATTCGTCAATTTCTGTAGTAGAGAAGAAAAGTCAATGAAGACCATTTTATTACCGTGATCCTACTTGGTAGCAGTATTATCATTCACATGAGGAATTTTTTTTTTAGAGTAACTGAGAGTAATAAGTACAGGGGTTACCTTTACCTAAATATTTAGACTACTGCCTGAAAGAGAGTCATAAAATGCAGACTTTATAAAATTCTGATCAACAACACGGCGACAAAATTATCATAAAAACTCACTACTGCAGAAGTGATCTTCAAACCTCGTTATTGGTGACAAAGGTTTGGATTTGTAGTATTTCTATGGTAACCCAAAACTTGCCTTTAACACAAGTATAGTTATAGCAGTTATCACATGACACGTCGTTCCAAGAGTAGCCATCTTTCGCACCAAGGGCGTGGACACAGTCTTCGTTTTTCAAGTTGTTTGGTTGTTGCGGAGCCCAGAACTGAAAACTGGATATTTCCTTGTTTGTCCACACAAACGATCCCTCAACGCGTCGGTCATTAAGGCCAATCCATGATCGCTCTCCATTGTGACGGTGCTGTATGTAGACATTTTCCTCTTGGTTGTGCACTGTTACCAGATGTGAGTTCATCATTGAACAGTTGGACACTGCAGTCACCCAAGGTGCACATACAAAGCTTGTTAAATAGCAGTATCCATTGAAGTAATCCCATCCATCTGGACAGATGTCTGTGCGTATAAATCACGGTACTGAGTCACAGATAAGAGACAACATGGAAAGATATGCCGTAAAAAATCTTTTTTTTTTTTTGCGGTAAAGTTCTTACCTGACAAAACTATGTAGGATATGAAGAATGGGTCGTATTTTGCCTCATACAGGTCTTTGACACAAACCCGAAAGCCTTTCCTGCTAATATACTGTACATGTAAAAGCACTAAACATTAGTACTAGAATGTGCATTGTGGTGGTGGAGTAGGGAAAACAATAGAAATTGGGAAGTAAGGGAGAGGAAACACTAGACATTTGGTGGTGTCAGTAGTGGTGGTGGTGGAGGAAGAGGGAAAACAATAAAAAGGTGGTGGTGGAGGCTGTGGTGGTGGTTTTGGTAGTGAAAGGAAAATGAAAAAAAAGGAAGGTGACGCGAGATAACTGAATTGTGGAGAAGAAGAAGGGAACTGGGGTAAGTTGAAAATTTGGTTTATTATTAGAAAGAGCTAGTTGGTCTTCGGACTCATCAGTATGCACGATTTGCTCGCCAAGAATCAGAGAACCTGAACTGGAAAAAATTGTTGGACAATGAAAGCACCAGGAAATAGAACTGGATACTTAACCAGTGATTTCATGTCAAAGGAGGGCTAGCACTTATTACTTTGACAGCATGTATCAACAAATGAATACTTTAGTTACTTTTTAGTCAACTAATAAAAAAGCAACGCATTTGTTTCCCTTAGAAGATCTAGGGAAAAAGCCTTAGTCTAAAACCAGTTAAACCCCCTTAAAATGGCACACGACCCATCTTAATGAGATTCCACCTATATTTAGATAATTCAATTCCTACAGTACGCACAGAATCTGATAAGAAAGGCACTTTTTTGACTGGTGCCCAAACACTAGTATACAGTTCTAACTTCTTATTTTTATCTATATTTGTTGCAGTTGCCTGTATGCATCAGTGCTGAAATTGGTATTGTTCTCTCCATTTATAACAGCTTTCGCGGACAGGTTTACCCCGGTTGAATATGTTATGATTATGATTATGATTATAATAATAATTATTATTACTATTACTATTATTTACATGTTACTATTCAAAATAAAGACGAAAAGCCATAACGTAATCGGTGTCTATATATTACTCGGCAGATTAGCGAGATTCGTCCGCGAATAAAGGTTAATTCGGTCCCTTCTATACTACTCATAATTTAATATGAAATTAGGCCATTTGCACTTAGAGGTCACGTGACCAATGCTTCCTTTAAACAATGACTTGGAATCCTGTTGACGACAAAAAATTGACAGAGCGCATAAAAATTATCGTACATCCGACATTTGAGAGGAAACGCATTTAAGGGAGATATTTTATGGCACTTTGATTTTTCAACAAAGTAGTATGATTTGTATCGGCCGCAATGTTGGAGGGCATATTCTTTCCCTCCAATATGGCGGCCAAAACTACTTTTTGCTTGTATCTTGTTAATTACGCTCATATTTGCTGTTAACGTTACCACATCATCTCTTCAGCAATTTTCTTGAAGTTTAGGTGCAAAATTTCTGTTCAGAAAGAGGTAATTCATAGTTTTAAAAATCACATTTTGGTCGCCTGACCAGCTACGAACTTACTCATTTTAAGAAAATGGTGCCGGTTTGAAAAACTAAATCACTATTATTTTGTGTAAGATTAATCTTTTTTGGAAGGCAAAATCATAACTTTCATTTCCATAAATATGATATCACATGACTTGTTAGTCCAAATGGCCTATTTTATATCCTGAAATCACCAGTTACCAACCTCCACCCAGGCAGCTATGCTGTTATGAACTGGACTTTGATTCCCTCCTTTTGTTGAATGCAAAGCAGAAACGAAGACGTGTGGCGTTGTGTTATAACTTTTGGCAAATATTGCCTCCTAAAAAAGATAAAGAAAATAATTCAACTTGAAGGGGAATTGTTACCAAGATA